ACAATGTTTTAATGCCCTGAAGCAATGCACAAACTCTTGTTCAATTTTGGTGTTTTTCTTAGTACTTGTAGTACCAGGGGTTTTTTTTTTTTTTTTTTAAACAGAGGATCCCAACAGAATTTATGAGAAGATATGGAAATAGTGTGCCAAACCATGTATTCCTCAAGGTTCCAACTGGTGAGGTATGGCAGGCAGAATTGAGAAAATCTAATGGCGTCGCTTGGCTAGAGAACGGGTGGAAAGAGTTCAGAGAGTTCTACACAATAGAGTATGGTCACTTTCTGGTATTCAGATATGATGGGAATTCCCATTTCCATGTCCTTATATTTGATCGAAGCACTTCTGAAATTGAATATCCATTCAGTGCCAATCACAGTGCAAGAACTGACTTTACTGGGAAATTCCATGCCAAAACAGAATGTGTGGAAGTTGATGATTCTGTCGAAATCCTGGAAGAATTTCCAGCATCAAAGACGAGGGAGAAATCACCATTGTCATGTTCTAGGCCCTGTAAAAAAACGAAAACCAATCGAACTTGTGAAGAACCCAACCTTAATCATGGATTGCAACTGGAAGAAAATGGGAGGGATGATGTTGTTGAAATCTTGGACGATTTTTCGCCTAGGCAGAGAACAAGAGAGAAATTACTGCCACCGCATTTTCGGTTCCGTAGAAGTAGGAGGCTTAAACAAACTGATAAATATGGAAGTACTTCCAATACCAAAGCATTTGTTCAATCTACAGGTCCTCAAGCCAATAGGGTGACGCCAGTTAAGTCAGAGAAGGGCCAATATTCCCAGTGTTCCATGCAGGGAGTTGGAGGTATGTAAGGAAATTTCAGGTTTTTTGTTGTTACACATTTTATTTCTAACTTTTTTGTTGATTTCTTGGAAAATCCAAATTAAAACAGTTGATGCTGAGATCGATAACTCTATTGAAATTCTGGATGAATTTCCAACAAGAGATGATGATTTCAATGATTCTTTTGAAATCAAGGAAAAACTTGCCACATGCCGGTCAAGGGAGAAATCACCAGTATCATATTGTCTACCCCATAAGAAAACGAAAACCAACCGAACCTGTGAAGAACCCATTCTTAATAGGGGATGCCGGGTTCCCAAACTTGAAAAAAGTGCTATAGATCCACCTAGAACAAGGGAGAAATCATCACCACAGTTTCGGCTCAGTGAAACAAGGAAGCCTAAACCAGCTGATAAATCTTCCAATCACAGAGAATTTGTCCAACCTACAGGTCCTCAAGGTCATAGGATGAAGCCAGTTAAGGAAGAGAAACGCAATTTCCCATACCGTTCCATGCAGGGAGTTGGAGCTAATGAAAAACAGAGAGGCAATTTCAAGACTTTGTTGTATTTTTTGTTTTGAACTTTTTGTTGAGATAGATATATTAAGTATGCTACTTAGGATGCTGCTGTGTATTTGTTGATTTATTCGCAGATGGACCTAAGATACATCAGCGCTCTACATTTCCAGCTGGGAGGAAGCAATTGGCAAGTGAAAATGGAAAAGCTAAAGCTCTTGAATCAGCTAAAGCTTTCAAATCTAAAAACCCTTTCTTTATTGTTACTATGCGATCCTCTTACATTTCCAGTGGTCTTCTGGTGAGCTCTCTACGTAAAAACCTTAGTACATCATTTGTTTGTTGATATCTTTACTTTCATCCTTATTTCACACCTTAATTTTACTGGATGATTAGTATATTATGATGCTGGGAGATCTACAAGTTTTCGAGCATGCTTTAATTTTCTTTAGCAGTGCACTAAGAAACATTTTGAAATTTTTACCCCCCCCCCCCCTCTCTCTGTGTGGATGTTCGTGTGTGTTAATTTCTTCTATAATCTTATTTTGACAGAATATACCACGGAATTTTGTCATGCAATATTTGAGTAAGAAGCATAAAGATGTTATCCTTCAAGTACAGGATGGGAGGATTTGGTCTGCTAAGTTCCATATCCATCCAGGTAATGTGAAAATCCAGACTGGTTGGAACACATTTGTACAAGACATTTTTCTGGCTGTCGGTGATGTTTGTGTCTTCGAGCTGATTAATGGCACCATAAATTTGCTAGAAGTTGTAATTTTTCGAGCATCTGAAGATACAGATAGCTGCCATTAAAGCAAGAAGACGCTGACTTATCAGATAAAGGATTGTCCATGAGACTAACTGAGGAAAACCAAATATGATAGAGCTTAAAATGTGGTTAATTTTCCTTGTCTAAGTGCTACCTTCCTCTTTCTTTATTGCTTCTATGAAGTTGATAAGAATACATATGCTACTATGGCTTTTTGTTATAATGTTCATAGTAGTGTTTTTATGGTTTTAATATGCTATTCATGGCATGCTGTGGTTTTGGCAATGCAATTTAGAGATGTGTTTATATTTCTGCCTGACAGAATTTTGTGAATTGTATGGGATGATAAAATTGCTAAATTATGAGCTGGACGTCATAAGTTCGAGTCATAATAAATTTTTTTTCACATATAGAAATAAAGTTACCTTGATTTACAATAGACTATCTTTTTTACGCAGATGTCATTTTTGGCCTCGTGGCTGCTCTGGTGTGGGGTGTTAATCATGGGCAGTTTTCTGGTCGTTTTGTAACGTGCTAGTTCTCCAACCCTCCCCCTCCCCCTCCCCTCTCCTTTCTTGGCACAGCCTATACATGATTGGACCATGACGGTTTTAACAAGGTTAAAAATAGATATTACCTATGACCATACCCAACTGTTACAATTAGTATTATCAGAATTGGATCGGATCGGACCGGACCGGGACTTAGATCAGTTTAGTTCTTGAGTTGGACCATATATGCAAGTGAGCTGGGAAAAAATCGCAAAATTGGCCAGTTTTGGACAAAGTCGGTGAACTAGACAATTCAAATGTTCTTTGTTATAAAAAGCCGATGGTTTATTATGCTCCGCAGAGGAAATTGGGCTGCGAGATGAGTCACTCTATTCAACAATCGCGACACTTCAACTAAATGCGTATTCTATGGAAACTATTATTAGTTCGTCTTTTTTGTTCTCCTCCAGCCTTCTCTCTCTCTTTTCTAACGATTTGCAATATCTGTCTCTCACTCTCAAGAGATAAGTTTGATTTCTCCACTAGGTCTCTTTCCTCATGTGGTTTCTCCAACAAATTTGTAACCAGTCGTCTTCTCCTCCCCTTTCTCTCTGTAGATTAATTTTGCTCTAGGTTAGATGAATAAATTTTTCCCTAAGACGATTAATTTTGCCCTAGGCTTATTCTTTGTCTTCCTTCCTCATCACGAATAGAATAGCGACGGATAACACTGGATCTTACTTGATCTTGTTGGGTCTTCTCCTCTTTCTCTCTCTCTCTACACGCACTGTATACATAGTCATATTCACACACACACACACACACAAAGTCAAATACATATTAAATTATGTTTTAATTTTTTTATTATATAACCGATTTAACCAATTGATTTAACGATTGAATCAATGGTTGATCCGATTCTAATAACTATGGTTATAAAATTTGAGAGAAAAGATTTTATGTGTCTGTTTTCATCTTAAAGTTGCTACTGATTCCTTACATACTATCCTTATGTCCTAAACAAAAACAACACAGACTAAAAATATATGCCAAAATATTATGTCAAGTAGACACTGCCACCAGAAGCAATGCTTCATTTGTTCATTGTCTCATGTTTGTATGTCAAACAGACACTGCCGCCACGATATCGATCGAGTGTTGGTGGAAAACAGATAATTAGGATTAATCATGGGCCATTTACATGCTTTTACATTCAATTGAGAATTTTATACAATTTTTTTTTATACTATATTTATGTTTAACTGTCCAAATTAGATTGACTTCTTCATTAAACAAGTTTTACGAGATTAACTCAATTATGATCTAAACTGTTTAAAATTATCTTCATGTCAATTGTATGTCTAATATTTCGTTTGGTTGGAAGGAAGAAAAGTAGGAGGAATTCACTTTATATCTTTCAAGGAAGAAAAATATGGATAATACAATTTCTTTCATTTATGTTTGGTACGATGAATGGAAAATAAAAATGATTATTATTTTTTTTTTGTTCTTGCTAAGATTAAAAGTGACAATCGAGTAGTGCCGTATAAGGTTCGTGTCGAGTTATTTTGGATTCGTGTCGATCATTAGTCAAACTTAACTCAACTCATTTAACTAATCATTTATGTCGAGTTGACCTGTTTATTTTCGTATTGTTTCGTGTTGACCCACATAAATTTTGAATGACAAATTTAATACTAATATTTTATTTTCACTTAATTGTACACATGCTCATACTTTTTTTTACAAACTAAAAAATAACTTTAATAAATAATAATATCTTTTTTACGTAATAATTATGTCAGTGCTTAATAAATAGTTACAAATAATTAATATTTTATGTATATAATATTAGTTAAATATGTTAATTTTGTATTATCATACAAACGAGAAAATACATAAAGTGTTTATTCTTAAATGAACGAGTTGATTATATCAAATTTGAGTTTGACAAGTTGAATTGAATATGAGCCGTTTATATTTCGTGTTCATGTGTCAGGTCATTTTCGAATTCGTGTCATAAAATTTGTGTCAAATTTGATTCGTGTCATAGTGTTAAGTTGAAAATTTTCACCCCTAGCTAAGATGAAAATAAAATAATATATATATATATATAAGAATAACGCGATCATGGAGACTCTATACCGTAACCTTTTGTGGATACTTTTTATGTAGACCGTTAGATCATAGATATTTTCTATTTAACAAAAAATTAAATTTAATAGGTCTTGATAATTAATTATCCAGTGACCTTTACATCATGATCTTCACTTTCTTTCTGAGTTTTTTTTTTTTGTTTAAAATTTATTTCTGAGTTTAATGGTTGCTCCCTTGAAACCTGTGTTGCCTCGCCTTTTCCTGTAACCTTTCCTGTATTAAGCCCTGCTGGTTTTCTGTGAGTTCAGAACGGTAGAGAAGAATGGTGAAACGTAGCAAAATCTCTTCCACTGATGCTTGTCCCGAGTTCTTCAAGATATTTGCGCCTGATTTGTGCTCTCAACGACTGGTAATGTTTTTCTTTTTCCTCTCACTTTACAATCATTATTTACTTTTTTTTTTTTCCCGGGAAAGTTCAGTTCTTTTTTCCTCTTGTTTGTTGTTTATGACTTTTCGTGATCATTGAAGAAGAAAATCCAACTAGAGAGGTTTTTTTTTCTCCTACCAGTGAGTTTCTATTTATTTGATTTTGCACTAATCCAACTACTAATTACACATTGTTTATTGTAAATGTATTTTCCTCTGCAATTATCAACACATAATGGCATATAACTATGAGTTGACAATAGAAAGTATGTGGGTGGGTACCTAATACGGTTCTTTGTGTTTTGGCTTGCCTGTGACTTGGATGACTTAATCCGATTTCTCATCTATGTTTTCACATGCCTCAAGCTCAAAATAATGGTTTTGACCACCTTTGGTGGTTTTCTGGGACATTCCTCCAAACTATTTTTCATTCTTTTTCTTCCTTGTTAGATCATCTACGGAAATAGGACACTTTGTTTGTAAGTGGATGGTTCTTGGTGGGTGATTTACCAAAAAGAAAAATGGAAGGACAAAGTATTGGAGGGGATTGGAATCCAATTTTTTTAGTTCAGTACATACTCCATCTTAGCTTTGTGACCGCTATGTGAACTCATTTTGTTGGAAGATGTCCCCTACCCTGTTTTGTTCGTGCACTTTGTGAGCTTGGAAGATGTCCCCAACCCTGTTTTGTTAATGTACCTTGTGAGATTGTACTATATAATATAACGAGTGAAAAATACTACCCTTTAGTTTTTCNTCGTGCACTTTGTGAGCTTGGAAGATGTCCCCAACCCTGTTTTGTTAATGTACCTTTGTGAGATTGTACTATATAATATAACGAGTGAAAAATACTACCCTTTAGTTTTTCCTTAGATCTGGCTTACTAAGTGTGAAGCCTTCACTGTCCTATTACAAGTGCTTTGCTATTATCGATATAGTTTTGATTTGTAATATTTGATATTTAGAGGTTTCAATGGGTCTGTCCTTGATATTTTTCTTTTAGGAATTGGGAGAAAAAAAGTTTAAGCAAATGTCTCAATTGAAGTTGAAGTAAATACATAATAATCGTGATTATGTCTTCAGAAGAGTGGCTAAGAAGTCCAAATGTGAGTCTGCATTGAAGTAAATATGTGAAAATGATCACAGGGCTTGTTGTGTTTTCCTTTTCCCGAGTCTGTTGTACCCACCCACCCCTCACTTTTTTAAAATGTCGTAATATAGGAAAGATTGTTTGCTATTTGAACTGGTATTTTTGTTCAAATGTCACTGTTGATTTATCCAATTTAGTTATAATTTTTCCCTCTACTAAACTACTAGTCTTAAAGATTTACTCTTCCTCTGCATACCTAATAATGGAAATTGTATTAAATTAAAACTTTTCCTTGTAATTAAAGAGGAAAAAAGAAGACAAAAAAACAAGATTTTTTTTGTTTTGTTTTTGGGTTTGAAGTACAATCCGGCACAGTAGGTAATTGATTGATAGTTTTTTGGAGTTGCATACTCCATCCAATGGTTTCATACTTGGAGAACCCACTAGTAATTATCTAATGCCTATTGTTACTCTGTGTACGTGATGATTGTAGTAGTATTTCATTAAATCTCTTCCTTATTNATAGCTAATACAAGTCAATTGAGTCGTATCCGTTTTGGTATTTTCAGAGATGATATAGTTACACGAGACGAATAAACCCCGAGTCTCGCACAACTCGGCCGTGTTGTATTGGAGTCAATCACGAATCGCCGAAATATCGTCACCAAATTAACCGATACGGTTCCACNCAAGAATTTTTTTTCCCGAATTTGACCTGTAGAGCCAAAGCATCAGATAGTAGGTAGATGACGGTTTTGAAGCATATATCCAATGATGTCATACTACTAATGATATGATACTCTTTTATTTATTCTATTACGACCAAGTGTATTTGATGATTGAGGTAGTATCTCGGTTGCGTCTAACCTTTCTAGTATTTGTTTCTTGATAGCGAATCCCACCAGCATTCCTCAAGAACTTTAATGGAGATTTACCTCAAAAGGCTGTACTCAAAAGTCCCTGCAAACGATCATGGTGGGTTCATGTGAATAGCGTCAATCAGAATTTCTTTTTTCAAGAGGGTTGGGAGGAATTTGTGCAATATCATTCTTTGGAATTTGGGGATATTCTAGTTTTTTCCTACGTTGGTACTTCAAAGTTCTATGTTAGTTTATATGGGAAAAATAGTTGTAAAAAACTGGCTTCCCTTACAAGGAATGATGTCAAGTCACTACCACTTGTCAAAGGGAATCAGGCAATAGGACCTGGTGAGTTTGTGTTAAATCAACAGGTTTTTTGCATGCCTGATAAACTTCCACGTACTGATAGAAAAGCTGATAGGCCCAGGCATCAGTAAGCAGGTTACTCAATTGACTTCATGTTCGAGGGTTGAGATGGCAATTGAAGAGAATGATGGAGATCTTGAGGCAGCCAACAAATCCATATCCACAAATCCTTCCTTCAAACTTGTTTTGGGGCAAGCTTATATCAGCAAGGGGATTGTAGTAAGTTGATCAACCTATCACTTATACAGAGTTATGTGCCTCTGATAACATGAGTATACTTTTATCTTTTCGAGATATCATTTTTAAAGGTAGTTTAATTCAAACCCCCCTTGATTACGGAAAAGTAGAACATCTTGCAGCATTTTCCGGTGTAGCATCTTTGCCATATAAAAATTCTTACATGCTATGCCGTAAGCTAGAGTTACACTTTTGATGCAAGTTTGGAACAAGGAGCTGGGACTAGTATCACAAGCAAAAACCATGTTGCACTCCAAACATCATTGAGAATTGTAGTGTGGGACATGCATCAATTGGTAAATATGGGTGATTTAGTTATTATGTTGGGACCTTGAAAGAAATGGTGCTTGAACACATATACGCCTCCAAACTGGTTTCTGTATGGAGACGATGGATACTCTGCTAAACGTTTATTATCACAGTAGTGGATAATCAAGCTCTATGATGGCAATAGAGTATTTTTCCTGCTAATTATAATTCCTACTTTGGCAGAGTATACCATCGAGCTTTCGCAAGAACTACATGGAGAAAGTGAGACCAAGTGCTACGCTTCAGCTTTCTAAAAAATCATGGCCTGTGAAATTGAATTATCGTCATGGAACAGTCCAGTTTTGTCAAGGTTGGCTGAGATTTGTAAAAGATAACAATCTCCAAGAAGGAGATGTTTGCTGTTTTGAGCTGATTGGAAGAAACAATTATGTGATGAAAGTTTTTATTTCTAGACCACGAGCCTATCTTGAGTAAGCTTCCAATCTCATCAATTATAAGTTTTGCCCTAGCAGCATGAATATTTAATATAGTACAGCACTTTTATTGGAGTCAATCTTAGTAATTATGTTCTTGAGCTTGGCTCGTTGCTTGGATCATGAGCGAGTCTCCTGAGACAACCTAAAAATTGAATCAGTGAAGGAGAGAATCAAATAAGCAAATTATAGTCAAGCAGAGTGTTTAATAAGAGAAAATGTTTCTCCTNATTATGTTCTTGAGCTTGGCTCGTTGCTTGGATCATGAGCAAGTCTCCTGAGACAACCTAAAAATTGAATCAGTGAAGGAGAGAAGATTTCAAATAAGCAAATTATAGTCAAGCAGAGTGTTTAATAAGAGAAAATGTTTCTCCTGCTGATACTATTAAATTATACTAAGGTTGTAAAAAGTGTTTGAAATTTCCTTTTTATTTTCCTTTTTTAATGATCAGAAATCANCTGCTGATACTATTAAATTATACTAAGGTTGTAAAAAGTGTTTGAAATTTCCTTTTTATTTTCCTTTTTTAATGATCAGAAATCAGTTAGCATTCCTGTTGGCTGAAGTTACTTTGTTAAGCCCATTCTCCTTGAGTTGCTCAATCAAGCTGCTAAACAGGCTGCCATTTTTGTTGTTTTGTGGTTCTGTTCTTTGTTTTCTTGCTACCTTTGGATGGATTTGTTAAACTTCTTTGTATCCTTTTTTCCTGAAACCAAATATTTTTTGTGAATCAACCATCCCAAATTAGTCCCATCACTAGTCCTTATCGAGCACTAGAGTAGTTCCACGTGTGCTACCTACGGCATCTATTTGTTGTTCACATGTATCCAGGAATATCCAGTTCTTCTGTCTCTAAAACTGGAACCTCGCCAATCTGGAAACCTTTCTATGGACTCTGTATAGGTTTCGTTCTCAAATTTCATTTTTAGGGTTTGATTTATATGTTTCTTTTAATTGTCCTTTTCTCATGTATTTAAAGTCTCTTCACTCAGACTAGACAAACAAAGAGAAAAGAATATCGTGAGACGTAGGGGTCGTCCACAGANTTTCTCATGTATTTAAAGTCTCTTCACTCAGACTAGACAAACAAAGAGAAAAGAATATCGTGAGACGTAGGGGTCGTCCACAGACGGTCTGTTCCTTTGATGATTGTCCTGAATTCTTCAAATTCTTTTTGCCCGACCAAAGCTCTGAAGATATGGTACTCTCTCTCTCCCCCTCTCACTCTATCTACATGTATATCTCATGGTTCTCTTAGTGTGTATGTTATTTATATGCAAGTGTCCTTGTGTCTGTACATTGATAAATCTGTGTTTTGTTTTAGTGAGATACGTTTGGCTTTTATTAGCTGAACTATTACTGCAGAACTGTAAATCAATCATGGATTATTCAGTTCATCTTTGAGAGACCAGTTCAGAAGTACACATAGTAATTTACTATTCAATATACTCAACCCATAAAAAAGCTTTAGTTACTTTGTCTGGCTGCCAGTAATCCAGAGAGGAGAGTAAAAAATAGTTAAGTGTGACACATTTTTGGCACAATATATTTCTGTAAACTTGACAATTGTACCTGTTAACACTTAACTGTATGCTTTTACACATACATATGAAACTGCAAAAGGGTTTTGGTTTTGATCATTTTGCATCCTGAAGTAGTTCTTTTTATGAGGATTGTTACGACAAAATGCATACAACCTCTTTTTTGGGGTAAAGAAACTTTAAATTGATGACCGTGCAAAAAATACCAATCCATTAGGAATACCAATCAAAGTAAGTGTAATGGGAGCCCCTGCTTAGCTCCCTTTCCCTTATGCACGGAAGGACACATGGTACTTCTGCTATTAAATTAGATATAGGAATTTTTAGATACTGGTTATGTCATAGAATGGGATATTCTTTATGTAATATACTTACTAAGATGGTGGTTTTGTCTTGCTTTTTAGGCTCTGAATCTGAACTTTCTTTTATTTTTGTCATCTCTCCTTGAAGCCAACCCAAAGAAATTATTCATCTCATTCCGTGAGAGGAAATGAATTAAAAAAGTAAAATTGAGTTCTTAGTGTCAGTCTGTCAAAATGATAGTCTAATTCTACAATTGTGCAGCGCATACCACCAGCTTTTCTTGAGCATTTCAATGGACACATACCAGATAAGGCCATCCTTAAAGATCTTGGGGGGAAGTATAGGCATGTGGATATGGAAGACGCTGAAAATGGAGTGTTTATTAAGAACGGTTGGCAGCATGTTGGGAGTGGTCATTCTTTAAAGCTTGGAGACTCCTTATTCTGTAGATACAATGGAAATTCTTCATTCACTGTTAGGGCATTTGGTACGAATGGATGCAAAAAAGAAGTAACTTTAGCTCTTGGGAGTGTGGTCACAGGTGTAAAAATTGAAGAAAAGACTGAAGAAGAACGGACTTCTCCCAAGCCTTCTAATATTGGCAAGCACAAGTACTGCAAACAGGAGATTGAAGAAAAGACTGAAGAAGAACGGACTTCTCCCAAGCCTTCTAATATTGGCAAGCGCAAGTACTGCAAACAGGAGATTGAAGAAAAGACTGAAGAAGAACGGACTTCTCCCAAGCCTTCTAATATTGGCAAGTGCAAGTACTGCAAACAGGAGATTGAAGAAAAGACTGAAGAAGAACGGACTTCTCCCAAGCCTTCTAATATTGGCAAGCGCAAGTACTGCAAACAGGAGATTGAAGAAAAGACTGAAGAAGAACGGACTTCTCCCAAGCCTTCTAATATTGGCAAGTGCAAGTGCAAGTACTGCAAACAGGAGATTGAAGAAAAGAAGACTTGTCTGAAGTGCTCTCGTATTTGCAAGCAAATGTGTGCAAAAGTTGATATTGAGGAGGAGACTGAAGACGAGTGGACTTGTCCCAAGCACTCATATGAGAATAAGCGAAAATATTCAAACAGAGGCATGGAAAGATGTAAGTTATCAAAACGTTAGATGTTTTTGAAAATTAGTTTTATATACTTATGTTCCAAATTCTGTGTTCCCTTTCTATTATACGTCACATGTACACCTACAGGTTCACAAGAAGTATATCCACTAAAATCACCAAGAATTGCTTCAAAAATTGTTAAAAATCAGAAGGAAATTGAAGACGCAGGGCTTGTCCTACCGAAAAATCCATATTTTATTGCAGCTCTCAGTCCCTCAAGGCCATCCCGCCTGGTGAGTTATGGGTCGAGCACCCAGCGATTAGTCTTGTACTGGGCATGGAATACTTGATATGGTTTCAGATTTAACCTTTGTGTATAGAAAGGAATAAACTATCAAATGGATATATTCACCCCTAGTTTGATGTTTTGACTATGGAAGGCCTTTAGCCCTCAACCATGGCTGCAAAAGCAGATTATGATAAAATTTTGAACAAATGGTTCCTGGAAGAGTTTAATCCTTGAAGGGAGATTGCAGAAGATGTCTTGTTACAGCTGTTGGTGTTATCATTGGCAATTAGCATCAGCTTATTTATATTGCTCTTAAAGAAGCTTTGCTTGGTGTAGAAACCTGAAGCTTGCTGCTTTGCTTGATTAAACTGGTGTCAGAGCTTGAAACTTGAAAGGGGGGGCAGGGGATGTATGGGCAAGATGTCCCTCCTCTAGTAACTCAGTCAGACGCATATTAGACAAGATGGTGTACGGGAAGGGAAAGAGGCTAATGCTTTCGTTTTGGCAGAGGAAGTGGCCTGAATTGGATTGAGAACATATGGAACTCTTGGGGTAAGAAAGAAGGTGATTGACTAGAGAGCGGCATCTAAGTAGTTTCACATGCACATAAACCACGACCATGGTCTTTAAAAAGAGGCTTCGTCGGTCACTTAGTATATACTGTTGTGGTGGGTGGATTGGTACTATTTACGAAGATATCTCTGGCATCTCTGTTACGCTTTGTTGTGGTGAATGGAGTGGTACTATTTACAAAGATATCTCTGTCTTCTCTATTAGGTTTTGAGTTGATTGTAGATATTATAGATCATTGTCTATTAAGAGATAATTCTTTAAAATTGGAGTGAAGCAAATCAAGAAATGACATACTCAGGGACACTGAAATTGAGGCCTTAAGTAGAAGAATTTTTTGAGAAATTACGAAGAAGGAACTTTGAGGAATGATTACAAACAATGTAGTGTATATGGAATTGTTAGGTTGTATCTGTCCAAGAAATATTATAATTGCTTCATTGAACCCAAGTATGGTTCACTAGGAGGACCAGTAATTTTCATAGTATCACCATACTCTGGTTGTAGGTTTTAATTTAGTTTACCAGGACAATATGCTTCTAAGAGTTATTTTTGTAGTTGACAAGATTTTGACACTTCCTGTTTATATTGAAGAATAAATTTGGCTCTTTTGAAGTTCAAGTGAAATTGCATGCATAAGATGGTTCTCATCAATGGCACACTAATTTTCTGGTTGGTATCTTTCTTNTGCATCTAGTAGTTTGAAGTTCAAGTGAAATTGCATGCATAAGATGGTTCTCATCAATGGCACACTAATTTTCTGGTTGGTATCTTTCTTCCTTCAATTACAAAATGGTAATAAAGCGTGAAAATGAAATAGTTTGAAAGCTTAGAAGCATAACATGTATTCATTTAAATGTTCCTGAAGTTTTCTGCTCACACTTTGACGGTTTTGCCATTAAATGAATGAAAATAATATCTTAAAAGTTTATTGCCATGCCTTTGCTGCAAGTTCTGGAACTTCTTAAGTTGAAAAGGAATTACAGGAATTTAACCCAAATCTGGATTTGTTGACCTTGTCAGTGCCCAAATTAGGAATTTTATATACTTGTTAACTTTCTATTTTGTCTCAACTTGTCTTTCTTGCCTCTTGTTTGAACTTTTGTCTTTTTCATTTTAACCAAACCAAAAAGAAAAAAAAAACGGAATCAAAAAGAAGAAACCTGTGAATGTGGAGGGAGTGATAGATTTTATTGTGATTTCTATCTATGCAAAATGGATCTTTCATAACCTGCATGCTTTTAGGTTTTGGAAAGGGGCCCTTCATCCGTCACATAAGTTTCATTTCTCTAAGTATTGCACTTTGAATGGCACGGCTCTTGACGTGATTTCCGCCAAATGTGTTGACACCCATTAGTAGATTGTCTTTTGCCAATAAAGAATGAAGTGGCTCCTGATCTGTTTGAGTATGATATCAGGTTCTGACATCTAAATGGAAGCTATGCAATAACTGGTAAAGTATGCACACAGGATTTATTTTTTGTCATAATGTTAGGCAGTCACACACACAGAGAATTGATTTTTTGGTGTCTGTTTGTTATGCACTCTTATTTAAATTATATGCTGTCATACTGTGCTGTTGGAATCTCAAAAATAAGAATATCAACTTAAGAGTTATCGACCTCAATTCCTGAATAACTTGACCAAAGTTTTAGTAAAGTATTTGTTATCATGTTAGAAACTTTACCTTTAATGATGAATGAAATTGAAAAGTGTCTTTCCACCGTTGCCATGATGTATCAAAGCAAAATGTCTATTTTTTGAGTCGATCAATGCCATTTTAGTTTGGCTCTCTTCTTTTTCTGTTATGAAGAGTTGTTGTCAACATGCATCTATGGTCTACCTCTGTGCCCTTCTTGCAAAATCTATCGTGCTATGAGTTTTAAACTACATAACTTATTCTAGTTTTTTTTTTTCTTCGCTTTTTGATGTCCACGTTGATCAAGTAATTATTAGTTTTTAGTTCTTATCAAAGTAAATCAACATTTCATTACATTTTTCATGGTTGCAGTACATTCCTAAACGACTGTTGAACCAACTTCATTTCGAAAGGTGGCGAGAAATGGTGTTCTGCAATCAGAATGGGGAAAAGTGGCCTGTGAAAGTCCATTTCATAAATGATGGTCGGGTATCCTTCACCAAGGGAGTGTTGGATTTTTGGAAGGAGAACAATCTGTGTCTTGATGGTAAGTGTTTACTTGAGTTTGGCATTGTCAGAGGCAAAGTACTAAAAGAAATACAGGTTCAATTTTTGTGAAGATCATGATTGGTGGCGTGCCAAGAGGCAGTCTTTGATTTGAAGGCACGACGAGGAATCTTTCTCTGTCTCTCTGGTTTTTTTGTTCAGTTTACTGGTATGGTTCATGCTCTGATCTGAGGAGATGGTGAATTTAACCCTCCCTCTATTAGACTTTTGGATTACTATAGTCTTTCTAGTAGATATGTCAATAGGTACAGATCTGGAACATATGTAGTTTCTCCTCTTGAAAGATATTATGAGAAGCATGTTTCTTAGCCTAATGAAGCATGTGATTCTAGCAAAACCATTTCTGGGTATATAAATCAGTATGCACGACTAGCACCTTTTGGTGATTACACCCTCCTATGATGGGCTAGATGATAAAACAGCTTAGTGACCATCCACACTTGGAAATGAGGGCTGTAAATCGAGTTTAACTTGTCCAATTTGAATATGTTTACACTTAGTTTGATTATGATTGTCTGTGCCTGAGTTCGAATTTATCTCAATTACCGAGCTTAAATTCTTACTCAAGATTGACTTGGCAAAAGTTTACAAACACTTGAGTTGAATTGGTGCCTTAATTGAGTTCAATTTCTCAAAAAAAATTCAAAAAATTAAATCTTTGGATTCCATTACCAACCTTAAATTAATCATTTTTTCAACAAAAACAAAAACAAAAAAATCCAAAATCTTATATAATCAAATACAGAACCAAAAACCTAAGAGTAAATTTTTAAAAGATTCATTTGACAAGAGAGTGAAATAGAAGTCTATACGACTTGAAAGCTGTTGAGGATTAAATTTGATGTCTTCATCTTTCAAATAAAGGTTTTCAATAATAAAATTAACCTTTTTTTAGGTCTAATTGAATCAAGTCACGTGTTGCACGTGTATACTTGAATCGTATTTTAAACAGGTGACATGTTTGGGATACGTTGGAACATGACATGACATAAAATGTACAATCAACTTTTGATCGGAGTTGGGCGATTCTCGTGACAATTAAAGTAATATTCTTAACGTCATATAACTCAAGAGATAATAAGAATGAGTTATAAATTTAAATGCCTTGAATTTGAATCTTGACAATTGTTTGAGTCAGGCAATGAGGGATATATCGTTCATGAATATCGTAGTCTCAGCATAAATAGTTTGCATTTGACCGAATTGAAGAGAAAATTAATCAAAATACACGTATTCAATATGAACCAGAAGATTAGTAAATCTCGTTAATTTCATTGAATTTTTAAAGGTTAAAATCATATTAAATCAAATGGCATAGACAAGATAGGACAGAATGGCAGTGCATATATTATTGATAAACGAGTGCAAGCAAAATGAGAAGTCAGAAATTTCAACAGTATATGTGAACTCTGAAGCACATTCATGGAAGAATAAGAAGAAAAGTTGTTATTGTAATGAGTAAATAATTCTTTGTAGATTTTAATTTAAATAATTTATAAAAATAAAATAATAAAAATATTAGATAAAAAAAATTTTCAAAGAAGTTTAACATTACCCTTATTCGTAATTATTCAATGTAACAGTAATATTACCACATCATTAATAAATAAATAAGTGAATCTTACATAATTTAATAATTATCCTATCTATATAAGATAATAATCACTACATATAAAAGAACATGAGATTTATTTGTTCACTTATTAGTCTTTTATTAAAGAAAAAAATACGAATAAGTCATACTTTTTGTCCCAAAAATAATTTTGTACCCTCAATTTTATATTTGAACAATCAAATCTTACTTTTTTTTTTCAACAGTTAGGATGTTTGAGTTTGTTAATGGTGCACATTGACTAATTCACTCTCTGATCTAATCAAAGACATGTCATCTACGCGCGAGATTAGAGTATTTATGAAGAATAAATTCTTCATAGAAATGCCCTAAGAGGTTGCCAATATTTGAATTCAGGACGTTTGAGTTTACAACTTGTATCTGTTATTATTTAAACTACCCCTTGGGATGGACTTTATGTATTAGACGGTGGAGGCATACAAGAATATTCCTATAAACCTGTGCAGGGATAGAAGCGAGAATAAACTGAAATTCATCCCTGCCTCGCCTCTATCCCACTCTATTAAACCCGTGATATATATATACTAGTTATAATTCGTGCCTGAAAGTACGAGAAAACATAAAATTCAAGCGCCCAAAAAAATTTATTCCACTATTAAATATTTATTTTTCTTTCCTTCATTTCTTTGATTATATCATTTAAAATCTATGTTTATCCATTATTTTTGTAAAAATATCTATAAATTTTTTTCAAAATACGTAATCCGATAAAATTTTCTTAACAAATGTATACTATCGTACATGGATAATGTTTGAAATAAAAATTATATTAAACAATAAATTAATCAAATATTAAAATAATTGGTCATGTGATAGAAATAGGTGATGTGATATTTTTAAGGGGGAAAATGTGTAAGGGATAAAATTCAACTTGTTAGCTATTTTATTATATAGATATCTCAAAGACACCAAACCCACCTATCTTCCAACCCACTTATATATATATATATATATATAGATATATATATATAATATCAAAAAATTCTACATAACCCAAATGGAATTCAAAAGTTAAAACTCAAATATATATCATTCATTGGATGAGTGTTGGAGGGGTGAGTTCCATTAAAAAAGTTGACGAGACTCACTCATTCAATGGATGATATGCATTTAAGTTGCAATTTTTTAGATTTCATTTGTATTTTATAACACTACTCATATAACAAACCTCATCCACCCACACACTCTTCTCTTTACCAAAAAAAAAAAAATTTATTTTCTCTTTTGGGTTTCATTATTCTTGTAAAACTATTTATGAGGTTTTATTTTTATTTTTTAAATTTATTTATTAAAAGCATATAAATTAGTTGTTATGGACGAAGACAGTGATGGGGATTAAAATTTATTCATAGGACAGGGACAGAGTGGACTGGGAATGGACGAATATTTTTGAAACGAGTATGGGGTGAAGACTACTCCTCCACCCTTGCCCCACCTCCGGTCCACTACAATCTCTATTTGGATTAATCCTACTCCTACTTTTTACTATTAATTCCAAAGAAATCCTAATTTTTACCATTATCTCATTTTCATGAAAAATTTATGGATTAATCGTAAATTACACTTTGAAAGATCATTCAAATCTCAATTTATACTCTTAAAGATTAAAAAATTTAATTTGCACCCTCAATGATAAAAATTTGTATCAATACGCACCTAAAACTAACAGTTGTTAGTTTGTTGTCTAACACTAAATGAATAAATTACATCTAGATTCTCTCATACTTGTCACTTAATTATTTAGACCTTTCACATTTAGAATATTACTTCTGTACCTCTTGATGTTTATCCACATATAACACATAATCCCTCGTCTAAAGGTGATAACTTTGCTTATAAAAATTATACCTTTTTTTTTTCTAAAGATTGTAATTTTATCTATTATAGTGATAATTTTGTCTCTAAATGTGACAACATTACCCTAAATGATTGTAAACTCATCTTAAGAGATTGTAAGCTCACCTCATATCTAGAGATGACATTTTTATCTTTATTGCTTGTAACATAACCTTAAATAATTATAAATTTACATCCAAATGTAATAATTTTACTATAAATTATTATAATCTCACATCAAAAAGTTGTAATATAACATCTAATTTCACCTATACATAACGTAATTTATCCTCAAATGATGATAACCTCAAATTCAAATATAATAATTTTACTTTCAATTGTTGTAACTTTACCTAAATAGTTTGTACTTCACCTTTAAAGGTGATAATTTTACTTAGTTTGTACTTCACCTTTAAAGGTGATAATTTTACTTTTACAGGTTGTAATTTAATCTCAAATGGTTGTACCTTCACCTCCAAAGGTAGTAGTTTTACCTTAAAAGATAGTAACCTTCCTTCCAGAGGTTATAACATCACTTTTAAAAGTGGTATATTTACCTCTACAGATTGTATCTTAATCATAAATGATTGTAACCTTACCTCTGAAGATAGTAATTTAACCTTAAAATGTGATAACTTTATCTCAAAAGTTATAACTTTGTTTTTTTGCAAATAGTAACATTACTTTTAAGGAGGTGTAACTTTATTTCAATAGTCATGATCGATCATGATAATCTAGGATCGATCCCAATGTTTTTGATGGATCCAAATTATTATTATTATTTTTTTTTTGTGATTCCACTCAATTAAGATCGATCAAGATTATTTGATATCAATCTTAATGCATTTGATGGTCCAAAAATTCTTCCAAACTAAATTTCTGATGGTTCCAATTAAATATGATTGATCATAACCAGTCAAACCTTTTTTTTTTTTTTTCTAAACTGGTCTTAATCCTATATTTAGTTACATCAAATTGACATGTAATTTTATGAAATTAATTTTTAATTTTATCCAACTAATACTCAATTCATAAAAAATAACATTAAATTGACCTTCAATTGTATTAAATTAACATTCAAAATTATAAATTTAAAATTCATCAAATTAACATTAAATTGACATTCAACATTTTGTTCTATTTGAAATATAAATTGATGAAATTAAATATTACCAAAAAAAACTAAAGGTTCAATTAATGTTAAAGGTGAAATTGATGAAATATTTAATTTGGTGAAAATTAATGTTAAATTGATGAAATTAAAGGTCAATTTATTATCAAATTGATGAAATTAAATTTTAAATTAGTAAACTCGAATGATAATATGGTTAAATTAAAGGTTAATTTGATGTTAATTTAATAAATTTAATATTAATCAAATAAAACTGGAGGTTAATATAATGATAATTTTATAAAATAAAATTTTAAATTGATGAATTTAAATATAAATTTGATAAACGGTTCAAAATAAATATTAAATTAATAAAATGTAATATTAATTTGACATAAAATTACCATATTTTGATGTAAAATTGCTATGGTGAAACTTTTAACTTTCAAAGTAGATTGATCGTAAAAGAACTCATAATTGATCTTAATTCCCTTTCAAAGCTATTCAAGCCATTCAAGCCGCCTTTTTTTTTTTTTCATTCTATTTTTACTTTTTCATTATAGCCCCACCTCTTTTTGGTATGGTACAGACTTTTTGTCTGTTCGCTACCATAGAATTTCCTTGTAATAGCAACTATAAAGGGAGTTGTCATTTTAGAGTGTTAAATTATTTATTTGTAATTTTAAACAATATTTTATCATCCTTGAATTATAAATCTGTTTCAATGACAGGTGCCAAAATAGATTGTCATTTTCATAATTTTATTTATTAATCTATATGAATCGTTGAATTTATATTAATCTAAAGGATTAATATTCATCAACCTATTTACAACTTTTCTCTTTCTCTTTCCAGTTTGCAAAAATACTACCTCATGAACCTTGATGTTATTTTCCAATCTCATATATCACCCCTTTTAGGGCCAAAAATTTTGAATTTGGGGTAATATATGGGTTGCCACCTCTTGAAGTTGCTCTAATCTATATTACTTATAAATGTTAGCATATGTGAAAAATTTTTGATTTTCTATTTCACCCTTAATCATTACCATAAAGTCAATTATACCAACATATTTTCTTGTCTTTCATATCTGCTTGATTTCTAAAATATTAGTTAAATAAACTTTATCTCTATGACTTGGTAGATAAAATTTATCAAAATATTAGCTAGATAACTTTATCTCTATGACTTGATAGATAAATTTTATCCCTATGATAATACATTCTTTCTTTTCCATTCAATTATACAAACTCTACTAGGATTCTAATACCACATATTAGCAATTTTTAGGCGATACATATACATATATTTTTTTTGTCTTTCCTACTTATTAGATTTCTAAAATATTTTGAATTCCTTTATATATATATATATATATTTTATCTCTATGACAATACATTCTTTATTTTTTATTCAATTGTACAAACTCTACTAGAATTCTAATACCGCATATTGGTAATTTTTAGGTTTTTGTCTTTCCTATATATATAACTAGATAGGATTCTAATATTACATGGAATCAAAATTTTCAGCAAAGTTATCGAACAAAGTTTTACTTCCATTCACGTTAGAGTTAGAAATTAGCCTGTCAGAGTCATTTATTTGAAGTCCTATGGTCTCATGCTCTTTTGTGGCAAACTCAATGAAGTCAAAGTTGGAGTTTTCAACATAATTAAGGTTAGTTTATCAATTTTTCTATTTTAATTTATTAATTCCAATATTTACGTTACGTCCTGTGTTTTGTGGTACTTAATTTTTTTTAATTTAATGTCAATCAACTTTCTAAGAGATTGGTGTGACAGGTTAGTATTCGGCATAATAATTGAGGTTAATTTATTAATTCTTATATTTTAGTTTATTAAATTGGTGTGGCAGGTCGAGTATTCGACATAATTTTTTATTTTTTTTTGTATTCGGTATAATTGAGGTTAGTTTATTAATTCTTATGTTTACGTTAAAATTTTATATGTTAGTGTTTCTTTGTTTTATTACTACCTCTTGTGAATCCAACTTTTTATTGCTCATATAACTAATATTGTGAAAGCTTGTTCAAATCTCCTTATAATATTGACCTAATTATTCTTAATTGTTGAATTGATAGTAAATTTCAAAATTTATTGAGACCAATAATCAATCAAATGATAAATAAATTAAATCCAAATAAAACCTGAAATAGAGGGAAAACAGTTTGAAAGTCAAAAGCATGATTGTTAATAAACAAGATGCCACATAGAAACTCTAGTATGCAGACATTTATTGAGACCAATAATAAATAAATTAAATCCAAATAAAACTTGAAATAGAGGAAAAATAGTTTGAAAGTCAAAAACATGACTTGTTAATAAACAAGATGCCACATAGAAACTCTATAGACATTTATTGAGACCAACAATCAATCCAATAATAAAAAAATTAAATCTAAATAAAACCTGAAATGAAGAAAAAATAGCTTGAAAGTCAAAAACATAACCCGTTAATAAAGAAGGTGCAACATAGAAACTATGCATAAGCTACTTAAGACATGATTTGCTTATATTTTTCCTCTTCAATCATTCACACAGAAATCTTTTGAAGATTATATTAACAAGTTTAGGAGAACAATAAATAGAAACGTAAATCCTGAACGAGAAAATTCTACACAAGAAATCATAGACAGGGCTTCAAGAATCACAAATGTGGTTAATATAAAAATACCTAACATAACATGACAAGCACCACATAAAAAATTAATTAACAGAATCCAAAAAAAAATTACTATAGGAAAAACATACCAACACTCTAAAAGCATTTACGAATTAAAAGTGACTAAAACTGTAATTTACATAGTTCACATAAAAATTTCATTTAATAAAAATCCGTTCATGATCAATGAATAAACAAGAATAGAAAATTAACTTACAGTCAAATAATCTCAAACCTATTTGTTAAATTTTGTAAAAGAGCGATTGTAATTGATTCAAACCTTAATACTCTGTAATCAAATTTATTAAAATTAATTTTTCAATACTCATAATCTATTAAAGCATTATAAATAAAAATTGTATGTTCTAAAAATTCGTTATTATAACTATGAGAAAAAAGATTTAAAAAAATAGCTAAAGTTAGGTACCACACAAAAAAAAAAAATGTTAATGCACTATGTATCTTGTTTTTGAGTATTTTTATATGTATCATATTTTTGAGTATTTTTATCATTTATTGGCTAAAATTTATCAAATTTTGAGGTTAAAAGATTAAGTACTTTTTTTTTTGATATTTTAATTATACACTTACTTTTATAAAAAATAATTAAATTTTATTATTTATCAATTTTGTATTTCAAATAAATTTAATATAAAATTAATCAACTAAATTTTTTTTAATTGTGCATGGCTAGTAGAAGACAAAAGTCTTCATGAAAAATTTATTCCCGAGGCACATTGCGTAAATGTATGAGGCTTCAATAAATATGCTGTCATCAAATGCCAGCTGTCACCTTTGTTTCCTCCAATAGCTTCCTCAATTTTCGTGTCATGAAAAAATTATATTTCTGGACCCAATGTCACTTTACTCCTTCAATTATTGAATATTTTGTATTATTCTCTCAACTATTTAAATTATTTTACATTATCTGCAACACAAATATTTAATATCTTTTAAAACTAAAATTGTCAACGAATCAGGATAAAGTAGAAAAAAAATCACATAATTTAATGGCAAAATGAAATAACTTTTTGTTAAATTTTTAACAGACATTGGTGTAATGTGAAATTAACCATATAGTTCAAGGTATAATGTAAAAAACGTAATAGTTCAAGGGATAATTTAAACAAAGTCATACTTTAGGGGCCAATGTATAATTTTCCCTGTTACTACTTCTCAAATCTCATAGTAGTGTATAGTCTCATCTTTCTTAGCTCTGCTTGTCTGATCAGGTATGTGCTCGTGGGTTTCTCCAGACTCCAGTTCATTCCCTTGGATCTATCTTTCTGTTATTGTTATTCATTAATTTTATTCATTCTCAAAGTTTGCAAATAACAATTTTTCTGAAAGAAATGTGATGCTCAGTTGCAGATGCAAATGAAATTTCCAAAGGGATTCTGGGGTTATCTCTGCTACGTCCTCTTCGTTCCTGTTTTCGTCCTACTCTTCCTACTGGGTGTTGTCAAATGTGCGCTCTCTCTCTCTATCTCTCTCTCTCTATGTGTGTGTGTGTGATATGTGGATTTATATCGAACCCTATGCAGGTGCTATATTCAGTCCATGGGTATTTCTGGTGATCGCATTTGGGGACACAGGGGTTGTGATAGGGCTATTGCCCCTTCATCTTGTTTGGAGTACCTACTGTGTTATAAGGTCAATTTTCCTTTTAATATTTGCCTTCCTCTCCATGTTTGAGTGCATAGATTAAATGGTAATTGAATAATAATTGTGCACACAGACACACCCATAATTAATATATATATACTAGTTATTGTCAGTGCCTGAAGGTACAAAATAATAAAAAAAATTGTGAATAATAAATATATTTATATTCACATCCAAAATTAAATTATAAATATAGAGTAAAGAAAAGAATTTAAGCACCAGTTGTAGTGGAGGTGAACGGTGATAGTAGTAGTGGTGGTGGTGTGAGACGGTGATGGTTGTGGTGGGTGATGAAGATCGTGGTGGCAGTTATGGGTGGCAATAGAGATGTTGGTGGTGGATTTTTGGTGACGATGATGGTAGTGACAATCATTGGTGACGGCGGTAGTGGTTGGGGACGACGGTGATGGTGGTTGGTAGTGATGGTTGTGGGGCGACGACGATGGTGGATTTTGGTGATGGTGGGTGACGATAGGTACTTCTGGACAACAGTGTGATGGGTTGTGGTAAATAACGGTGGTGGTGGCTATAGGTGTGGGTGACAATGGGTGGCGACAATAGTGGGCGATGACGATTGGTGGTGGTAAGTTTGATGGGGGTGGCTGACAGTGACTGACAACAATGGTGGGCAATGATGGATGGTGGTGGGTTGTGATAGTGGGCGGCGATGGTTGGTGGTGAGTAACAATGGTAGTGGTGGTTGTTGATGGTGGGCGATAGTGATAATGGTAATAAATATAAGANGCTGACAGTGACTGACAACAACGGTGGGCAATGATGGATGGTGGTGGGTTGTGATAGTAGGCGGCGATGGTTGGTGGTGAGTAACAATGGTAGTGGTGGTTGTTGATGGTGGGCGATAGTGATAATGGTAATAAATATAAGAATGAGATGAAAATTGTGGTGGATGGTGGCAGTGGACAATGGTAATAGCAATCGGTGGTGGGTGGTGATGGTGGTGGGGCAACGACGGCGACGGGGATAGTGGTGGGGGTGGGATGGCAACAGTAATGGTGGCAACGGTGAAGACGATGACTGTGGTGGTGGTGGGGTGGCGATAGTGGTGGTGACAACGACAACGGTGGAAGTGGTGGTGGCAGAGGTGGTAATGGGGTGGCGGCAGCGACGGTGATAGTGGTGATGGTGGTAGTGGTGGAGCGGTTCTAAATACTAATTTATTTTTTTTAAAAGTATTCATAAGTAGTTATAAGTTCTAGAAGTATTTTTAAAAAGTCACCTCAAACACACCCTTAGAAGCCTATTTTCCCTATTAAATTTGAGTTATTAATATTAGCCATCAGATTAATTTTAGGGTAAAATTTAAATAGATCTCAACCGCGAAAAGTAAAAGTCATTTTATTTATCTTTTGAGATTTGAATTATAGTGTACTTTATTATATACTAGTTATTACCTGTGTCTGAAGGTATAGAGTAATAAAAAATGGTAAACAATAAACATATTTTTATTCATATCCAAAATCAAATCACAAATATAGAGAAGAAATAACAGAATTTAAACATCGATTTGTAGCGAGGGTGAGAGGTGGTGGGCGGCAGTGGTGGTAGTAGGAGACGGTGATGGTTGTAGTGGGTGGCAATGACCGTGGTGGCGGCGGCAGCAGTGGTGTGGTGGTAGCAGCGGTGGCGACGGCGACGGTGGTGATGATGGTGGTGGCGGTGACGATGGCAATGGTGGTGGTGATGGTGATAGAGGTAGTGGTGGTGCGGTATCAAACACTATTTTTTTAAAAAATATTTATGAAAAATAATTTTTAAAATTACTTTTAAAAAGTCACTCCAAACACACCCTTATGGGCATATTTTTTCTATTAAATTTAGGGTGTTAATATTAACTGTTAGATTAACTTTAAAGTGATCTCAACCGTGAATAGCAAAAGTAATTTTGTTTGAGATTTAAATTGTAAGCTACTTTATTTTATATATATATATATATAACATAAATATTACTTCTTGTTTGAGATTTAAATTTTAAGCTACTTTATTTTATATATATATGTTACTTCTTGTAAGTGACATGANATAGCAAAAGTAATTTTGTTTGAGATTTAAATTGTAAGCTACTTTATTTTATATATATATATAAAATAAATATTACTTCTTGTTTGAGATCTAAATTTTAAGCTACTTTATTTTATATATATATGTTACTTCTTGTAAGTGACATGAAGTTTTGCTAAATGGGTGTTAGAACAAGGAAATTTGGTCCATATATGAAATGCCTCCTGATTTTACTAGTTCCGGTATCGGTAGCGTTGTGGAGTGTTGTCGGAGTTGTTGGAAGTGCTACTATGGGCATTGGGTATGCCTTTGTTTGGCCTGTCATGGAGACATTCAGGGCGATTAGCAAGGAAGGCGTTCCACTTCACCAGAAGTTAATTAATTGCTTAAGGGTAATGTTAGTTCTCATCTACGTCATTGTGGTTTTAACAAGTTATATTGGAGGGCATGAATTGGGAAAGAACTTACCGCACTTGATGGTAAATCTGTAGGATGGAACCTGGAGCTGTGTTTTGGGTGCATGTACTGTTGTACGCGATTTTGCAGATTTTTCATTCCACTCTTACTTCTCTGTTATGGATGGGCTGATGGAGGCCAAGAGGGAGGAGCCTATTGAACTCAAGTATTCATCTCTCTAACCCTGATCCAAATTTTCTAAGTCAATTTTTTACTGTTGAATTTATATATGTGAATTCATGTTTTTATATTCNCTAACCCTGATCCAAATTTTCTAAGTCAATTTTTTACTGTTGAATTTATATATGTGAATTCATGTTTTTATATTCATCCACTCTGGCTGATTTGTACTACTTTACTCAGCTAGATGTATAATCATCAAGTGTTTTGATGATGACTTCATTGAACAGTTTATGTCTTTAACTGATCCATAAAAGAATAGAAACTGAATATTAGAGACAAAATTTTAAGTTCATTAATGCGAGTAAGGAAAGTGACTTTCAGTAAATGCTCTAAAAGCTCATTTGAAATATATCCAAAGAAATTGATTGCTGCATTGTCAAGTCACAAGGATGCATGTTTTCTCCATTGAATGTACAGAAAAAATTCAAAACAACTTGATTATGATGCTAGCAACGAATAAATAATATTGTTGTTATCTGATTCTCTGGAACTTGTTACCAGGTCATGTGCTGTTGATGTTAAAAAGGTAATAAAGAATCATCCATATTCTGAATGTAATTTGTACCTTTCATCTTTACATTTTATCTAGCATATTATACTGATGTGCCACAGTTCGTTTGTCCAGATTTGATGTTTCTTTTAAGTGTTAAGTAATTGCTGTGAAATTCGTAACCGACTCATCTTTGCGCGTTAAAGCAATCTCAGAATTGATGAATTAGATTTTCCATGTGTTTTCTGCAGGGTTACACAGATACCAGGATGCATTTTGGCAGCAATCTTGGGGATTCTGGTTGATGTGCCAGTTATTACTCTGATTGTGTTTTATAAAGCTCCTATATTACTCTTTAAAGGATGGCATCGGTTACTAGAAGATCTTGTAGGGAGGGNGTGTTTTATAAAGCTCCTATATTACTCTTTAAAGGATGGCATCGGTTACTAGAAGATCTTGTAGGGAGGGAAGGCCCATTCTTGGAAACTGTTTGTGTTCCCTTTGCTGGACTATGGATTTTACTGTGGCCTATTGTGGTTTTTCTGGCTATTTTGGCTGGAATAGGTTCAAGCTTCCTTTATGGATGTTATGCTGCCGTTGTTGCATATCAGGTACAATATGAACTGTTAGATTTTTTTCACTGGCTACTATCTGACTTTTCTGCTGCCAAAGTAGTAGCTTTTCTTTGGTATTCTGCCTTGATCTCTATGTCCGGCATGCATGCACGCGGGCTGGCATATTATGGTGATTATGCTTACAGGTTTTTCTGTCGTTCTGCATTTAAGGAAAGTTCTACAAAGAAAGGATTACTGTATGTAGTTGCCTCTGCATCTCGGTTTGATGAGTACACCAATGATTTACTCTACCTGCGTGAGGGTTCCTGCTTCCCCAGGTAAGTTGTACAACACGTTCAGGTCACATAAGGATTTCCTTCATGATACATAAAATTTTCCATCACATTATAAAAGAAGTCTTTAGTTGTTTACTTGCTCAATGTGATCATGTATGAACCTCAATCATGCATATTAGTCCATTCATGTGCGCTGTTATCTTGTGGTTTAAAAATGAGCTGTGCATCATTGAATTGTGTGATAGCCTCTGATTATGTGGGCAGCCAGACCAAGATACCGTGACCAGGTTGATTCCAATTCATTGCTTCCTGTAGTGGGACTGTATAACCATCTGGAGATTGTTAGTGGTGACGAACCTTTGATAAGCACACCTTCTGCAAAAATGAAGTCTCTGACAGCTGTAGTGGTAAGATTGAATTAATCTGAGCTTCCCCTGTCAAATACTGTTTGAAAAAATGTAACATTTTACAAGCAGATGTTATATGTTGGCTCGATGTTATTGTTTATTGTTTGTTGTCAAGGTAAGTGTTGGCATATATTTGAAGATTTCCTTATGTTTTTTTTTTAAATGTTTCAGAGTTAAAGTTGATATGAGATTTTAATCATGGTGCTTGTGCAAAAATAGGGAACAATATCAACAAAAAAATATATGATGCAAACCAAATATTATCACTACTCTTTATCTGGTGGTGTTGGTCATTCTGTTCAGACTTCTATACTTATCTGTTTTATGTTGTTATGATTGTTCTCCAAACCTAAACATGCTTGATTTCCTTCCTCCTTGGTCTACTCTAGGAAAGGGAAGTACTCTTATTGTAAAGCTTTGTTTCTGATTATACTATTTCGTTAAGCCTCTTCATTTTTGAGACTTCCTCTGTTCTTCCACACTTTCAATCAGCAAGTTTATTGTAAAGCAAGCTCTCTTGTCACAGAGTGATGTGGCGGTCAATCTCCCATTCTATGTTGTTGTTGTGCGATTTCTGACCAAGAATGTGTTATCAAGGAAGACTTAAACAATAAAATGAGCTGTAGAGGCTATAATTTTGACAATGACACACGTATCTAAACTCATTGATTTGGGTTTTTTTAGCACCATCTCTGTGCAAAAACAGGCATATAGTCCTTGGTAGCACAGAGTGATTTTACCAGCTTAATAAGCCAGCATTCTAGAAGGCTTCTGCAGTTTCAAGTACTTCATATAAATGTTGACTATTGGTTCTCATGCTTGTGTAGATATGGGATGCTTTTATCAAAACATGTGAGGATATTGGCAAAGAGCTTCTTAAAGCGGGTGCCATCAGATTTGCAGATATTGATGCATGGAAACAGTCGAAGAATAAGATAATTAACATTGGAATTCCTGCTTGTGCATTTCTTGAGTGCTTTCTTTGTTCTATCAAGAGTGGTTCCCCTGGATTCATCCTGTGTAAGTATAGTTTAATGATTCCAAGATTGTATTTGGTTGTGTTTTTTTTGGCACTACATGGACATTGGTGGTACTGATCAGTCCCATAGTTGGCTGAAAAACATTGGGACTTGTGATGACCAAAACAGATTCATATGACCATGATAAATGATTGTTCTGATTCTATAGTCTATTTTGTTTCTGTCTTTATTCCTTTCTTCAACTTTACAATGTTTCAAACACTGCACCCAAGAAGTAATTTGGTCAAAGCAATTTATCTGTTTTGTATATTTGTTTTATGTTTTACTGATCCAAGCAGTTTTTCACCATGTATTGAAGTTTAGTTAATGAGATTAAGTCATTGCTTCAGATGGGGCTTGCATCCTGTAATTGTGCATATTCACTGGCAATCATATCATCTAGTTTCTAATTTCTGTGGATTATGGTGATTATGTTGGCATAGCAAGAGAGGAAACTATATTGAAACAATTATTTTTTTTCCATGCCAGGTGATAATATTGAAATTACCAGTGTTAATAGACCAGAGGGAAGAGCTTTTGAATGGCTTTATGACCCCATGTGTATCATGAAGGAGCAAATTAGGAGTCTGGATTTACAGGAAACTGAAGAGTTGTATTTCCATAAGCTCTGTCTGTACAGTGGTGATACAAGAAGAATTGAATCTTGGCAGAATGGTGGCATTCCTCCTCGAGATGAGATTAGAAGAGCTCAGTTAGAGGGTATGAGTAGAAGGTAATTGGAATTCATTTTTACCTTGTTTGTAGTCACTTGCTTTGTGCTCATTTTCTTAGGGCAAAATACTCCGTACATCATTACTAGCTATATCATTGTGGATTATGCTGCAGTCCATATTTCCAGAATCACTTAATGGCTGTTCCCTGTTGTCTTTGAATGGCTCAGCTTGTTCTTTGAGCCCTCCTCCTCCTTTCCCTGTCTCCCCAATCTACCCTCCAAAACAGATTTTTCTGTCTCACACAGTTTCAGAATGTGACTAGGTTACAGGGCTTTTGTTTGATGCTCTCAAGGCTGCCAACATCCCGACGAAGGTTCTATGAAGTAGTAAAAGTTATGGAGCATCTAGCAAAGAATAGTGAAGAGCCAGGGGTGGAACTGATAGTATAGAAGCATTCCTCTAGGTTCTCTCTTTCCCTCTCGCTAGATGCTGCTGCTGTGTTGGGTTGATTTTTGCTTCGTTTGATAGCAAAAATGTGGCGTTCTAATTGTATGTTTTAGCTTACTACTTTTAGTTGCCAATTATTTTCTTTGGTTGTATTCACCCCTGTGGATTTTATAAATAATAGTGTAGCAAGAATTTTTATTTTTTTTGTTTGGGTTCTGAATTTAGTCTTTAATTTTGTGGATGAGTCCTGTTGTAAGGCTCCAGTTACTTTTCTATTCATTTTTGATAATGATGGTGTGTTATTATAATTTTTAGTTTTGTTTGACAATATCCTTCATAATCCTGCATGTTTTAATCTCTTCTTCCTTCCATTCTGTCACCTTTCCTTGAGTTAGAATTTGCCATGAAATCATTCTGAAAAAGCTTGAGAACAAATATTGACTGGTTATAGGGTTGATAGTCGAACGAGTTTGAGTTGAGTTTAAAATGCTTGTTTTTTTAACTGATCTTAAGAAATTGTTTAAGTTTGACTCCTTTAAAAAATAAGTCAAGCTCAAAACGAGTCGTTGAATCATGAGATTCTATTTACTATTAACAGTGCCTCAAATTAGAGAAAATATTCATTATAACAATAATATCAAGTAATGGGTGACACTGGGCATTACCAACCAATAAAAATATCTCATTTAAAATAAGTGAATCTCACTATTTTAATAATTTCTAATAATTTATTGATTAACTAACACATTGAAATAATGGAGTTTACTATTCTTTTTTTTGGTTCAACAGGATATTTGGATTAATTTATACGTACTTCGATTAATTTTTTCTTCGGTCAAGGTAAAAGACAAGTCATTCACGTCGAGACTAAAATATTCATGAAAAATAAATTTCTTATAACTTAACCCTTAGAAATTGAGAAAATTTAAGCTCAAACGTCTGAGTTTTACTGCTCTATCTTTTTTATTAATTGAGCTACCCTTGAAATTGGAGTTTATTATTCTAAGGTTGGTGATATGATGTATGCTTATTTGTTGGTGATACTATGGGTATGTTTCGATTGTGAGTTAAAGGGGAATAACTCTGATATGATAGAATAAAAAAGTATGTGAGACTCGTATATCTTACATTTGGCAAGTAAAAAATATATTAAAAATTCAATTAAGATTTTATCTTATTCCAATTTGAAAAGTCAATTTTAACTTATCTACGTGGGTTAAATGAAACCCAAGGGGGCTGAAATTTTTTTAATTCTTGTAACATATTAATATCCGTCGAAAGGATATGAAATTATAATATTTTTAAAAAATACATATAAGAAAAATTTGTTTGGAATTGTTCAAAGGCTAATTTATAAATTGAACATTATGTTGCATTGGATACGTTAGAAGCAAAATAATCGATGATACCATATTTTATCATCTTTTTTCATAAGTCCTACAAAAGTGCTAATGTTATCAAAACATTGGAAATAATAGGATATTACTATTAAATTCTAACCCGTCTAATAATAAGTGGGTTTGGATTGAATAAAAAATATATTTTTTTTAGAGCTCCAATATAGTCCAACCCTACCATCTAAAAATACTCTAGGTGCAAAGATATTTTTTTTTAGATCTTCGATCTAATTCAACCCTTCCATTTAAAAACACTCTACTTGTCACCGTTGTAATGAAAAAGCGCTATGATCCGGATTCGGATCGGAATTTCAGGAACCGGGTTCCTTAAACCCTAGTACTACCACTACTAACCAGTACTCAAAATATATCGAAATTTTGCGGAAAACATCGAAGGTATATTGGTGGTCGTTTTCTTTTAGCTCAATTTATGAGTAATGTTATTAGAATCAGACTAGATATCGAACCGAACGGGATTAGATCAATGATTCAGTGGTTCAATCATTAGATCAACTGGTCGAACCGATTGTATAATAAAAAAATTAAAAAGAATTATATAATATAATAATTTAGTTAAAAAATACAATCATAGTAAAAATTATTGTACCTATCATATAGTGTACGGTGTGTTTTTTTTGTACAGGTTCACCGTTGGAATTTATTACTAAAGTACGGTAAAATTTAAACTGAAACACTAATCTACGGTAGTTTTAAACTTATTTATCGAACTAGGATTATTTTAACAGCAGAGCTACGAATTCCGATATCATTTAAAAGCGAATTTAGTGAGTACGATTTTATTTGAAAAAAAGGATGCAGCAATTCGGACTTTAACATTAAAAACATATTTATCGATTACGCTTTTAATTGAACAAGACAAACTGCTCTGTTATCGAGGCTGTCAGCGGCTCAGTGAAGGTACGGTTGTTTAACCTTATAAAAAAGTGATAAATTACACTCATGTCTTTATAGTTATTGTTTATTACAATAATAGACTTATATTTTATGATATTATATTGACCCCTTTATTTGTTTCATTTTGATATTAGATATGTTTTTCAATTTTTCACTCAAACTTTGTTCCAACATTCTTTTAAACACTGTTATTCTTAATTTGAACAATAGTGTCCTTCAATCTAAATTCACTTCATCTTTTTCATCTTTTTCTTTTCTCTCTCTCTTGCACAAATGCACACACATGTGACACAAACATATATTTAGATCACACATACATGCTTGTAAATTCATATAGCTTTCCGATAGAATGTTTGTGTGATCTAAATTCATTTACAAGGGCAATGAAAAAAAAAATTAATTTTTAAACAAAAAAATTTCTTTGATATAACCTTTTATGGGAACCAAAGAATCTGACTCAAACAATTTTTTCAAAAAGACAAAAAGGGGTTCTCACGCTAACATTGAAATTTCATGGGATGAGCATGTTATTTTGACAAATAGTTGGTTTTCTCAATGATATTTGTCAAAAAAGAAAAAAGTGAAGAAGAAAAATACACTAATGTTATTTGCACTTAAAAAATCTGAACAAATATGTTGATATGTTGATGTATCTAAGAAATGCAATCCCCACATATAAAAGAGTACAATAATTACAGTTATAAGATGTTATTAAATCTATATTTATATTTATATTTATCTTTACTATTTATAAATGTCAAATTTTTTGATTTTTTTTAATTTTTTATTTTATCTTTAATAATTATAATAAAGTCAATTATACTCACTTATATAACTTAATCTAATTTTTGTTTTTTTTACTCTTATTTAACTTTCAACTTGTTTTAAACTCTTTTATAAGGTAGTCTAAATTATTTTGAAGTAATTTATTATTAATAAAGTTACATACAAATTTTCATATATATATGAAGAAATAAAGTTATATATACGTTAAATTATTATAGACATGTAGCTATTAGATTGAATTCTACGATCAAATTCATATTAGATTTTTTTTTTAATATGTAATACAATAATAATATTATAACCGATCTAATTAACCCATTTAACAAGATAAAAATTAATAATTCTAGAACATAATTAGATGATGTGCAATTACCTAAAGAAGTCAGAGAAATAGCTAAATAAATGATAAATTAAAATGAAACAAATAAAGGGGTTAATATAATATCATAAAATATAAGTCTATTATTGTATTGTAATAAACAAGAACTATAAAGGACATGAGTGTAATTTATTACTTTTTTTATAAGGTCAGACAACTGTACCTTCGTTGAGCGACTGACAGCCTCGATAGCAGAGCAGTTTGTCTTGTAATTGTTTAATTAAAAGGGTAATCGATAAATTCGCTTTTAGTGTTAAAGTGTCTGTTTTTTAGATAAAATTATACTCCTACTAAATCCACTTTTAAATGAAATTAGATTTCATAATTCCGTTTTAAAACGGCTGTAAATTGACATTTGAATTTAAATTTTATCGTACAGATTCACCGTGTGTGTACTGTGTGCGCGTGAAGAGGGAGAATGAGAAAGTGGAACCAGCTGGCCACTGGCTGTGCTGGGTTGTAGATTAGGAAAAAATAAAAGGGGAGAGAAGCCTGAAGAGGCAGATGTCGAAGAACTCAAATGGAACTCAGATGTTGCAGAACTCAGATGGAGAACTCAGATGAAGAGGAGAAGAAGACTAACAAAGCTCAGGAGGAGATCAATGGCTGAGAAGGAGGTCGAGATCTGTGGTGTGGCCACTGTTCGAGTTAGATCTGGAAACAATGGAGACGAAGAAGAAGGGCTGAAATCTTTTTGAACCAGCCGGAGAAGACGAAGACAAAGACAAAAGGGCTGGTGTTGTTTTGAACCGGCCGGTTATAGGAATTTTCGGTTCACCAGTTCGATTCCTTAAGTGGTCTAATTAAAGAACCGGTCCAGTCCGGTTCTGATAAACACTGCTTCTGAGGCATCTCTCTCTCTCTCTCTCTCTCGCGCGCGCGCGCTCGCGCGCGCACACACACACCCGGTCTTTTTCTTTCTCCCAAACCCACCCACCAGCGTACCAATAAAGCCAATCAATTTCTCATGCAATCCACCTTATATGTTGCTTCCAATTCCCTTCCTCATCCTCACTTACCATGGAAACCTCAAAAACCCCGCATTCTCACACTCCAAACACTCAAACTCTCTCTTAAACCATTAACTCTCTCGAACTCGTTAAAAACATTATTCGGCTCCGAATTCGAAGATGAAAAACTCGATAAACAAGACCAACCAACTATTCTTCTTCGTCTTCCTGTCGTAGTTCGCAATTCTGGTAGTGTTTCTCGCTACTTATGGGACGGAGATGACTTGAAATTGGTTTCTGTTGACGGAAGTGCAAGGTTTTCGTTGTCGCCGTTTTCTTTAGATTTCGAAGATGGGTTTCGGAAGTTGGTTAGAGGGTGTGTTTCGGGTATAAGGAATTTTTTTCTTCCGAGGGAAGTATGTGAGAATTATTTGGAGTATGTGAAGTGGAAATTTTTGCATAGAGTCTTCAGTTCTGCACTGCAAGTTCTCGCAACCCAGGTAAATTGTTTTTCTTTTCAGTGATTGAATTTCAAAGGTATGTACTTCCATATATTTTGAGTCCTATGGATTCTTGTGGAAAGTGAGTTACTCATTGTCTCACTAATATGAACAGGGGAGATCTGGGGGAATTTTCCCATTGGAGGGTTGATTTTCTTATTTTTGTTAAGGCTATTGTTTGTTCTTTCTTATTTGAACTGTCATCTACTTGGGAAATTAGTTTATGCCATCACTTATTTGAGTGTGAATGGGTTATTATCAGGCAATGTTTCGGGCAATTGGAATTGGATACTCGCGTTCACTTGCATCAGCTGCTGCCCTGAATTGGGTTTTGAAGGATGGGCTTGGACGCCTTAGTAGATGCATATATACTGCTAGCCTAGCGTCTGCTTTTGATACCAATTTGAAGGTATAATTACTTCCTCACCAAAATGTGGGTGCCACATTATGCAATCACTATTATTTAGTAGTACAATATTCATAATATTGAATAGTACTTCTTTGCAATTATCGCTTATCAATCTTCGTTTCTGTATTTGGAAAATTTTGGTGGTACATATTAGATGAAGTATTGGAAGATTCCTTGATTTCTAAATTGTGGTGAAAAAATTGCAAATCAAGTATTTTATAGTCTGAACCTATAATATGGTACTGTGAGTTTGATTAAATAATTAATGTGTAATTGTCTCCCTTGAAGAGAGTTAGGTTCTCAACATCGATTCTGTTTAGTTTGGGCATTGGAGTTGAGTTGCTGACTCCTGCATTTCCCCAATATTTTTTGCTTCTCGCATCTGTAGCCAACATTGCAAAGCAGATAAGCCTCGCGTGCTACCTGGCAACTGGTGTAAGTTTCAGGCCCCACCAATCTGTTAGCTTTTTTCTGATTTTTTCATGTAACATATGCTCATTTTCATTTGAATTCTTTTCTGAAGATTGATATCACCATTAGACACAATCTGGAACATTAACTAATAATCATTTTCTAATGATTGATTTCCTTTAAAATTTTATTTTTCATGGCAGTTGTTTATTTTTATGTTTGAATGTGGTGCTTCTCACGAAGTTTAAAGCAAATCTTTTTCCCCCTTATTGATGGCAAATGAATCAATTGTAAAATGTTGTGTACAATTTGAGAGAAGCAGTCATGTAAAGCTCTGCTTGTAGCATAGAGATCACTGCCTATTCTTAACTAAAAGCCCATGTGTGCTTGATCATCCTGAAGTTCCAACCAATGATCCTACCAGATATAAACTGTGTTTTGAAATAAGCTTATTAAAAGCCCCTGTACACTGGAGCATCATAAAGCATCATCGGTTTGCTTTTACCAAAAAAAAAAAATGAGTTTCAAACAAAATTTGGACAAACATGGATACATCATAGTGTGTAGTGACCCCCATATTGCAGCGGTCAGATTTACATGCTTTATTTCTTCTGGGTTTTTTGTGCACTTCTTGATTTGAATGGTTTTATCTGCCATTCCTACCTGATGAATTCTCATTGTCCAAAGCCTGAGGTTGCGATGAATTTTCTTCTTTGCTGGTAATTCAGAAAAGGGTTCATTCTCTCACGTGTTATGCTATACTAACAGACTGCTGTTCACCGAAGCTTTGCAATAGCAGACAACCTCGGTGAAGTTTCTGCCAAGGCTCAGGTTGATTATAATTTTTCTGTGGATTGGTTCTTTTGTCATGCTTTATATTTTTTTTTTTTGTGGTGCACAACTACACATTAATTTTTTTTTTCTTTTGAGTTTCAGATTCAAACAGTGTGCTTTGATAACCTTGGGCTTATGCTTGCTGCACTGTTGAATATTTTGTTCAAAAACAATCAAAGGTTCATGCTTGCTTCCCAACTTCAGATTTTAAATTACTGAATCATCCTAGTTTTACTCTCAAGTTGATATTTGATGATCTTTCTTCCCATGTGCTGCTGTTCAGACGGCAGTAGACTGATTTTTTCCGTAGTTTGACATTAGTAGGTTTTCCCTTCTCCTTTTCTTGACTATGTTTTTGATTTGAAAGATGTACATGTGTGAACTGAATGCTAAAACAATGTTTATACTGTCACTTGTCTTCCCTGTAAATATGTGATTAGAAAGTAGTAAACAAATAGTATATTGATAAAATACATTGACTGAAAGTTCTTGATGATATGCTAGATTGCAAGCAGGTTTACCGTTTGTCATATATCCAATCTTCTCAGCAATTGACCTTTTTGGAATTTATCAAGGGCTAAAGCACATCCATCTGCAAACCTTAACTAAGGTGGGTTTTTTATTTCTTTCATATCTTTTCACCTCCGGAACATCACAAAACAACCAAAGTTCATCGATGTTATAAGCGTTATTTGAGAACTCAAAATGACACATTTGCTTATTAGTGGAGGTCATTTTATGCTCTGAAGGTACAGAACTCGGTTCTTCTGATTTATGTGCCTCCACCGATACATGTAGCTCATCTTAGACCTCTACATTTGCTAATCATGTGTCCCTTGCATAAGTTGTAGCTTGCAAGCATATATTGACAAAAATGCTGTAACAAGAGTCATACAATATGCTTTTGTCTTTTATTTTTTGTAGGCTTTACCTTCCCCACCCCTGGGGCTGGGGGGTGTACAACGCTAGATCACTTCCANGGCTTGTAAACATATTCTATTGAACACACAGGAGCAGGCTAGGTATAGTTTTGTGGATGACTGAGGATGTGCAAGTGTTTTTTTCTAGGCTTTGGTTTGTCATTCAAAACACAGGAAAAGGAAAGACTGAAAGGTAAAAAAGGAATCAAGTTATGAAAAATTTTGTTTTTCCTTTATTTTGCTTCCATTTATTCTTTTCCTTTTACGTTCACTAATTCACATGAACTCTCCCATGTTACCTATGTAGCCATCTGTCGTACTTCTCATTACCTCTTTTTCTTTCAAGTTTTCAAAACCAGTGATTAGAGGCATTGGGGGCACAAACACCCACATCCCATTCTCGAACTTCAAATAGGTAGGATTGTCACGCAACAAATTGAGTTCTCTAATTTGATATCTGCTTTATGTTATGCTTCTTTACACCGATGAGACAAGCAATGATCAATCAAAATAATGTCTTCCCTAGCTAAAAAGAGCGGACTCGAGGGCTCTTGGTATTGAAGAGAATGAACACATTCTTGATTACTAGGCCTGCAGCTACTTTTTGTAAACTCTCATATCTGTGTGATGGGATGGATGAGCAAACATTAGGTACTTTTTGTAAACTCTCATATCTGTGGGATGGGATGGATGAACAAACATTAGGTATAACGGTGACATCATGTCATTATTAATACACGATGTCACAATTTAATAATAAATCTGTAAATTGACAAGATAAATCCCATTGAGAATGATATGACAGGTTGGTTATTTTAATATGTGAAATTTCTCTGTTTATTT